CCTACTTTTCTGGGAGAAGAGAAAAAGAGTTAATCCTTCCATGTTTGCTTACTATGCTCCTGTGGCTATGTTAATCAGCTTTAGCAATGATACCATGCATCTGGCATGGCAGCTGCAGTTGTGGCCACTATTAGATTTTGTGATAATCTCCTACCTTCCTGCAGGATGTGTCTGGTTCCTGCAGAACCCACATGGTAAATCCTGCATCCTGTAGGAGTGTAGCACTAATTTCTGTCATCTCCCCTCCCTTGCCTCCAGAATACAGTATTGTCTTCTTTTTTATGTATTATCTTGGAAAGTGGGACGGGGCACCCACTTTTAGAGGCTTTCTTCCACATGGCCTTTCCCAGTGTAATAACTCTTACTCCCTAGGCCAAGGACTAACTAATTTCCAACTGTGTCTATTTCAGTATACATTTGGGGTCCAGGGAAATGCCCATCAAGAGGTCCACACACCCAGCGGGCCCATTGTGAGCTGAATCATTTATTTCCTGGTCCTTGTAAGTCCATGATGATACTTCCAGACTCCAGATGTCAACCTTCCCTTAGAAAGTTAGCATTCCTGTTTATGCAGTTTACAGTTGCCTGAGTAAATCACCATAGACAGAGCTGACAACATGATTTGTGTGCTCAGTCCTCCTAGATTGAGAATGGTCAAGAGAAACTGCCCATCAGAAGTGCCATAGCGCTCCTAACCTGAACAGGGAAAGGATGGCCAGGTGGGGCCAGAGGGAGGGGCCAAGAGACCCCTCCTGGAAAGACAGGAAGAGGTGGACTGTGTGTAGACTGAGGCTTCAAGCACATACTTCATTTTCCCTATCAGATTTCACTATGGAACCAAAATTCATAGATAAAATTACTAAGGATTTTAAGACAGTGACAAAGTGTGTTAGTCGCTCAGTTGTGTCTGACTCTTTGCGACCCCACGGACTGTAGCCCAGCAGGCTGCTCTGTTCATGGGATTCTCCAGGCAAGAATACCAGAGTGGATTCCCATTCCCTTCTCCAAAGGATCTTCCCAACCCAGGGATCAAACCCCGGTCTCTTGCATTGCAGGCGGATTCTTTACCATCTGAGCTACAGGGAAGATGCAAAGTCTGTCAGTCATGTCTGACTCTTTGCAACCCCATGGATTATACAGTCTATGGAATTCTCCAGGCTACAATACTGGAGTGGGTAGCCTTTTCCTTCTCCAGAAGATCTTCCCAACCCAGAAATCGAGCTGAGGTCTCCTGCATTGTGGGTGGATTCTTTACTAGCTGAGCCACAAGGGAAGCCCAAGAATACTGGAGTGGGTAGCCTGTCCCTTCTCCAGGGGACCTTCCTGACCCAGGAATCGAACCAGCATCTCCCGCATTGCAGGTGGATTCTTTTCCAACTGAGCGATCAGGGAAGCCAGTAGTGACTGCAGAACGTTAAACTTCAAGTGCAGGAGCCTTCTGGGTGGAGTCCATGAGACCTACAGCGTATGAGTCTCTTAGGCCGTTGGAGAAGGGAGTGGTAACCCACTCCAGTTATTTTTGCCTGCAGAACCCTATGGGCAGAGGAGCCTGGTGGGCTGCAGTCTGTGGGGTCGCAAAGAGTCGGATACGACTGAGTGGCTAACGCTACCCAGGGAATTGTTATACTTGCTTTGATGTTACAAGGTCTCTTCTTTTGAGTACCTGGCCTCCTTCAGCAGTCATAGGGGTCAGAATCTGAAACTGGCTCAGGTTCGGCAGTTGGGCATGGATTCTGATTTTTTTTTTTTTAATTGAGGTGAATGCCCTCAGCATCCTGATCTTCCATCCCTGATTTCTTTTGATGTGACAGATAGAGAAGTGTTCTTTTTAGCTGCTAGTCTATTTTGCTTATAGTGACATCAGGCTTTATTAACTATCTCCATAAATCTGTGAGTCAGATCCCTTTGACTGCCACCCTGCTGATCTTTATAGTAATCGTGTCCATCTGGCTTCAAACATTAAGTACCATGGCCTGGTCTCCTTTGTTTTAGGATCCTGTCATCACCATTACTATCTGTGGCATTACTTTTTTTTAACAAACTCTTATGGAGAACAGCTTTGAAAACTTCAAGTAACATAATGGGTGAATTTTCTGACCATTTCAGCAAGCCAGCTTCACTGCGTGAGCCTTTTGATCCCTTCCTCCGCTGTCTGCCTGTGCAGTTTTGGCATTGCTATTTATCATGGGCCATGACTTTTGCAGCTTTTAGGAGCCATCCTAGTGGTAAGTCATACCATATTCTGAGGTTTTTGCCAGGGTGTTATATCCTCTGTCTTTGGAGAGTGATCAGGAACCTTATGTTCTGGTTCTCATGTTCAAGGCCCCTCAGAATTCACATTCACTCTCACCTGGCCACTGTTGGGTACATGCTGGCTAAGTCTTGCATCACCCTTGGGTTATAGTTCCTTTCAGACCTTATCAGGCACAGCACGTCTGGACTGGGTTACGTTATGACTTACTACAAGTTAAAGGCCTCCCACCTGGGAGGCATGGAGGTGGCAGGTCCTGAGGAGACATTGTTTACTGGGCAGGGTGAGAAGGCCTCTTCATTATCTTCAGGTGAGGGGAGAGCGCCAGATCATATAGGGGTGATAGGCCCCTTTTGTCCTTTCAGGGGATACTTTCACATTCAGAATTTTGGAGGGGCATCAACTCAGTTGTCTGCATCTCATGTCAGAGTCTCATTCTTTCCCAATCAGGACCCTGACGTTGGCATAGCGTACCTCCCTTGGCCGAAGGTTAACCTTCTTTGGTGCTGGGATACCCTGTTGATTAACTCCTGGGTCTGGTTTCTAGCTTCTTCTCTCCTCCTGCCGCCACAGAAAAGAGCTTCTTTGCAAATTAAAGAGCTTCTTTGTAAAAGGTCCTGTGGCCTTCATATTTTCTTTTCTTTCTTTCTTTTTACTTAATTATTTATTTATTTAGGCAACACCACAGGACTTACGGGAGTTTAGCTCCCCAACCAGGAATTGAACCAAGTCCGTGCTGGAAAGTGAAAGTTGCTCAGTCGTGTCCGACTCTTTGCGACCCCATGGACCTGTCAGGCTCCTCTGTCCGTGGAATTCTCAGGCCAGAACATTGGAATGGTTAGTCATTCTTTTCTCCAGGGATCTTCCCAACCCAGGGATTGAACCCAGGTCTCCCGCATTGCGGGCAAATTCTTTATCGGCTGAGCTAGACCACGAGGGAATTCCCCATATTTGACTTTGAGTTGACTGTTAATCACTCTTAGCTTTTTCTTGTCTTTTTCTGGAGCATCACTAGAGTTTAGCAGTAGCCATTCAATTTAGTTCAGTGCAGTTAGTCACTAAGTCATGTCCCACTCTTTGCGACCCCATGTCCTGCAGCACACCAGGCCTCCCTGTCCATCACCAACTCCCCAGCTTAAGCTCATGTCTATCAAGTTGGTGATGCCATCCAACCACCTCATCCTCTGTCATCCCCTTCTCCTGCTTTCAGTCTTTCCCAGGATCAGGGTCTTTTCCAATGAGTCAGTTCTTTGCATCAGGCGGCTGAAGTATTGGAGCTTCAGCATCAGTCCTTCCAATGAATATTCGGGATTGATTTCCTTTAGGATTGACTGGTTTAATCTCCTTGCATTCCAAGGGACTCTCAAGAGTCTTCTCCAGCACCACAGTTCAGAAGCATCAATTCTTCAGTGTTCAGCTTTCTTTATGGTCCAACTCTCACATCTGTACATGACTGTTGGAAAAACCGTAGCTTTGACTAGACGGACCTTTGTTGGCAATTCAATTACATTATCATTATAATTATTATTTCCCCCTTACTCTTCAGGTGCCTCATAAATCCAATCAACTAGAGCGTTCTATCCACAGATAGATCATCACTCTTCACCATCAGTGAAAGTTTAACTGGACCAGCACCTTGTGCAAGTGATTATTTCTGTTACACCTACCACTGAGTGGGTCCTCAGGGCCAGCTAGTCTGTGAGTGATTCAACTCTAAAACCCTATCACACTCCTCATTTTCTCAGATCACTGCTGGCCCCAACTGTTAGTTGTGTTTACTTAAAAGCAGACTGTAAATTGGAGTTTAGTATTCAAATTGTTAACTAATAAGTACTCTTGGGATCAAAGCTATGAAAGAGATAAAAAGCAAGATTGAGCAGATTTGGTCCCTGTTTTGATTAAGTGTGAGGGATGTTCAATATCTATACTTACTTGCCTTTTTTCAAAACTTTTTTTGTTTTGTTTTCACGTTTGAGCATTCTTAACTTACTAAACTACTTTCTACTTTCTTCAGGCAAAACCAATTCCTTCATTCTATGATATCCTCATATTCTTTCCCAGATATTTATGTGAGTTTTGTGGGGTTTGTTTGTTTGTTTTTTGCATAAACGCTTAACTTTTGGACTTCCCTGGTTGTGGAGTGGTTGAGAGTCTGCCTGCAAGTGCAGGGGACATGGGTTTGATCCCTGGTCCGGGAGGATTCCACATGCCGAGAGGCTGCTGAGCCCACACTAGAGCCTGTGCTCTGCTTCAGGAGACGCCACCGCAGTGAGAAGCCTGCGCACCGCAACTAAAGAGAAGCCCATCAAGCAGCCAAAAATTAAATAAATAAATAATTTTTAAAAAGAAACTTGGCCTTTTCCCGCTGCTCTCTATTCCTCCTCTCTTCTTCCTTCTTCCTCCTCTCTTCTTCCTTCTCCCCCTCCTCACCGCTCCCTTTTTCTCCTTGACCCCCTTCCTAAAAATTTTTTTCTTGACTTGCCTTTTTCCTTACACTCTGGTAATATTCAGGATGGAGATTGGAAAAGGAACTTATTTGAGGAAACTGAGGATGATGTATATTTTTAAATGAAAATTAACCTTGAATGTTTTATGATATTTTTATATTATATGTATGTATCTCAACTCCCTTAAACTAAATCCCAGTTTAAACTATAATCAATGTTACTTAATTGGGTTTATTTTTTAAGTAATACAAAAGGATGGATTTTATGTTTTAAGTATATCATTTTCCCTTTTCTCTCTTTAGAAACTATTTGTCACCTTCCTAAACTGGTTAATAGTGGCATGGAAGATCCATTTGGTAAGTATCACCTGCATTTTTCTTAGTAAATGACATTTGTGTTTTATCCTTGGCTCCATTAAAGCTTTGAGAGTAAATTGACTTTTTTTCATGTTTATTGTGCTAAGCTCTTTTATCAGTCCTCAAACTTTTTGACCTCAGCATCCCTTTATACTCTTAGGTATAATTGAGGGCCCCAAAGAGCCTTGTTTGTATGACATATAGCTATTGATATTTACTATATTAAAAATTAAAATAGAAACATTTTTAGAATATTAATTCATTTACAAATAACATTAATAAACCATTCATATGTTACATAAATAAAAAATTTTAATGAAAAATAGCTTCCCAAATAAAAAAGATTAACAAGAAGAGTGGCATTGTTTTATATTTTTGCAGATCTCTTTTAGTGTCTAGTTTAATAGAAGACAGCTGAATTCATGTATTGGCTTCCTGCATTTAATCTATTTTGTTGTTACATACCCAGCAGACTTTGGAGAACTGACTGTACAGTTTGGAGCTAATGAGAGTGAAAAGACATATAACATTTTTGTATTAGAAAAAATAATTCTGACATTGCTATGAGCGCTCACACTTTGAGATCCAGGTGCCCTAGAATGTTAGTTACTTCAAATAAAGCAAAGAACCATTTGACAAGTTAAAATAAGTTTTAAATTCTGTAACTAGCTACTAGTGACTAGCCAAGTCACCTCAGTCGTATCCAACTCTTTGCAACTCTGTGGGCTGTAGCCCGCCAGGTCCCTCTGTCCATAGGATTCTCTAGGCAAGAATCCTGAGTGGGTTGCCATGCCCTCCTGCAGGGGATCTTCCCCACCCAGGAATCGAACCCATGTCTTTTAAGTTTCCTGCATTGCAAGGTGGGTTCTTTACCATTAGCACCACCTAAGAGAGTATAAATCTAGATACAGAAAGGTTTTATATTTACCTTTTTGACTAAAAAGTCAGTCACTGTGTACTCAACTCTGTTTTCCTATTGAAAACAGAGAGGTACTGTCTAGGATAATTAGTGGACCATTTTGAACGTTTGTGCCTTGGCGTGTTTATTGAAGCTTTATGAAAACTATTGATGTCTCTTTAGTATCCTTAAGTTTACCGCCATGCTTTAAAAAGTGTCTCTGTAGAAGAGAAGTGGCATTACTACCATACTTTATAACCTCTAGGGTGAGACACCTCAGCTGTTTTCCAGGCTTTTAAATACTAAGCCACTCAGCTTGCCTGCACGTTACTGGAAGCACTTTTAAAAGCTTGTGATGGGGTCCTCTAGCAGGCCCGTTGGCGGAAACGTCATAGTTCCAGCGTCACTGCCATACAGCTTCATTAGACTTCTCGCGGCATAGCTGCAGTGAGCCTTCAGGCACCCCTGAGAACTTTAAAAGTAAAGATGCTGGGTAAAAGCTTTAAAAGGAGCCTTTCCATTGTCTTAGGTTGCAGGCAGCTTTGTAGTTTTGTTTGTTTGCCTGCATTGGGTCTTAGTTGCTGTGAGCAAGTGGGATCTTGGCTATGGCGCACGGGCTCAGCAGTTACAGAGTGCGGATACAGTTTTTTGGGTTTAACACATTGTGTATCCCTAAATTTATATTAATGAGTATGTAAAACATTCTTGCACACTGATGAATATTATACCTCCCTCCATTAAAAGTATAACAGCCAAAAAAGAAAAAAAAACAAACCCAAACTGTATACTGGGAAGACTAGTTGGGAAGTACTTTCCATTTAAAATATGCACCACTGGTAGTCCAGTGGTTTAGAATCCGGCTTCCAATGCAGGGGACTTGGATTTGATCCCTGGTCCTTGGGGAACTAAGATCCCACGTGCCTGGAAGCTTACAACTAAGCCTGCACACTGCAACTACTGAGTCCTCGCGCTCTGGAGCCCACAGGCCATAGCTGGAGAGGAGCCTGCACACCGCAACCAAGAGCCCGAGAGCTGCAACTAAGAGCCAGTACACCCAAAGATAAATAATAAAAAATAAATAAAAATACACACCAGCAAAAAAAAAAAAAGCAACCAGAGACAGTTTTCCTTGATTAGCCTCAGCCTGCTAGAGGCAGGTTTTGATTTGAACATTTTGTGATTCTTCACCAAACGGGAAAATCTGAATCTCGTTTTATGGCAGTGTAACTTTTGAAGTGTGTGTTCAGTTACTCAGTTGTGTCCGACTCGTTTTGACCCATGGACTGTAACCCAGCAGGCTCCCCTGCCATGGGAATTCTCCAGGCAGGAATACCAGAATGGGATGCCATGCCCTCCTCCAGGGAATCTTCCCAACCCAGGGATTGAACCTGCATCTCTTACATCTGCATTGGCAGGTGGATCCTTTACCACTCGCACCACCTGGGAAGCCCATAACTTGAAGTAGTAGAGGTAGTGTTCCAAGTTTCTATTCTGTTCACGCACAGTGAGGCAAAACTTTACTGTTGTGCCCGACTCTTTGCGACCCTGTGGACTGTAGGCTCCTCCGTCCATGGGATTCTCCAGGCAAGAATACTGGAGTGGGTTACCATTTCCTTCTCCAAGGGATCTTCCCAACCCAGGGATCGAACCCAGGTCTCCCGCATTGGAGGCAGACGCTTTAACCAGGGGAGCTTAGGTTCTTTGGGCTCCTGGTACAGTTAAGTAATCAGACCGCTCAGGTTAATAGCTGTTGTCTTTCTTTGAAAAGACTGCTGTTTTAAACCTTGTCAGATCAGAATTTCTCCTCTGATTTTAATGACCCTAAATGGCTTCTTTAGGACTTTGCCTTTTTTTCACTCTGAGGTGTACATTACATGTAGCTCATCAGTGAAATTCTTAGTTTGAACACTAGAGGGCAGTCAGTACTTTATTCATAAATTTGTAGCTTCTGGGGCGTTTTTTATGAACAATTGGGTAAATTGAGTTGATATATTAATAGTTGCCTGGTGACAAATCCTAAAGAACATGTCCATATGATAAACTAATGTAACATATGACAATTCCAAAGGCTTTTATAGGAAATTTTTTTTTCCCTTTGAGTGACCTCTTTACCTCACCGAAATTTAAGCATATCGTAAATGGACTTTAATCAATTAAACTTACTATTAAACTAATTAAATTCAACTTAAAATTAAATGTAACTTAAATTTGGGCTCCCTTGGTGTCTTAGCGATAAAGACTCCGCCTGCCAGTGCAGGGGACACAGGTTCGATCCCTGGGTCGGGAAGATCCCCTGGTGAAGGAAATGGCAATCCACTCCAGTATTCTTGCCTGGGAAATCCCATGGAGAGAGGAGCCTATAATCCTTGGAGGTCACAAAAGAGTCAGACATGGCTTAGCGACTAAACAACAATAACTTAAATTTACTAGAGAATTCCAAAGGGGAAGTTGCTATGAAAGTTATAGTTGGCTAGTAGTCAGTTGAAATATAAATTAATATGTGCTTTTGATCACTAATACGAGAAAAGGTTTGTCTTCTGTGCTAGTGAGAGGATTTTTTTCCCCTTCTATTTTTTTATTTTTTAATTTTAATTTGGTTATATTCCCTGCATTGTACAGTATATCCTTGAGCTTATTTTTATAGAATAGTTTGTAGGGTTTTTTTAAGTGCTCACAAAATGTACATATGATAAGAATTTGGTTTACTGGCTACCGTCTACTCAGTACCATTGATAAAGAATAAAAATTCTGAATGCAAAATGTGTTTGTTTCTAAGAAGATGGAGCCTTTAAAAGATGGTTGAGAATTTTGTTACAGTTAGATTAACTGACAGTTATGTAGATACACTGAAAAAGAATTTGTTGTATTCTGAAAATTAAAGTGAGAGATTTAGTGGGACAGATCTAAGGCCTTTAGGACATTTCTTACTTACATGGACAGATGTTTACACAGTTTGTTATATTTTAAAATTACATTTGTTAATACCCCCACTGGTCTCAGTGCAAAGTCTTTAGGTGTTGGGAAGTTGGCCAGCTCACTCTGGTAGGTACGTTTTCCAAAATTCAAATTTTCTCTTGAAAGCTTGATGTATCTCGCTGGCAACAAGTACTGTCAGTTTTACTTAGAGTAACAAATTCCATTCATTTTTAAGAAAATATCTGTGCAACATCTAAGCTTGAACAACATAGTTTTTCATTCAATCTTTTCAATAAAAATGGTATTTCATGAAAAAAATAGCTAGTTAGGCTTGCAACTCAATTATACAAGTGCCTTTTGTGAAGGTGACCATTGTATTTATCACTTCATCATGCAAAGCAGTAAAAAGACATATAGACTTGAGATTTATTAAAACTAATAATACTTTTTATAAATTATCAAGGATTTTATTTCTTAAATTTTCATTATTTTTAACTATAATTATACAGTGGTGAAGATTATGTGTCTTACTACAGTTTGATGCCACTGCCTTGATTTGTGTGAAGGTACCAGCAGTTTTGCTTGCTTTTGTACCCTCAGTACAAGTGTCAGCACAGTGAAAAATGCAATTCTTTAGTATTATTAAGTAGATTGTTGTACCTCTTGAGTCCTAAAAGGATCTTGGGGACCCCCCCAGGCATCAGTGGACCACCCTTGCTTCAGATTCCTAATTTTCACTGAGTCCCTTCTGTGGAAGTCATGGACAGAGTCAAGACTTAGTCCTGGAAATTGCTTTGGGCAGGGCTTCAGTCTTGGACACTTGGCACAAGAATGGTCAGGGGGAGTGAGCAACTCTGTGGTCTTTCCTAAGTTGATCATGACCTGCCTGCCGCTTTTGGTGCTGCTGCTGCTAAGTCGCTTCAGTCGTGTCCAATTCTGTGCGACCCCATAGACAGCAGCCCACCAGGCTCCTCTGTCCCTGGGATTCTCCAAGCAAGAATACTGGAGTGGGTTGCCATTTCCTTCTCCGACCTGCAGCTTTTAGGAATAGGTTAAAGAACACTTCTATAGGGTGAAATGTCTTCTGATCTCATCAGGAAGCTCAGTATTTTGAGAAGAAATTCACCAGCATTTAATCAAGACCAGCTCACCTGAGCATTATCTTCCTTAAAAAAAGAGAATAAAT